AATCAGAAAATTACATACAGTCTATACATTCCATAGAGTGATTTCACTCTAAGAGGAGAAAATTTAAAAGGAATTAGAGGGAAAAATAGAGAAATAAAAGAAGAAAAAGAGATTAGAAACAAGGCAGAAGGACAAAGGAAGATCACCCAAACCTCAGGAAACTGGTAAACAAGACAGGATGGAAAGAAAGGACAAAACCAAAACAAGAACAAAACCAAACAGAAAAATTAAGAGAGCAATGTTCACTCTCACACACACACACACAAAAACCCAAGCAATTAAAAAGAAAAAAAAAGGCCAAAAACACAGAGGAATTTCTCTGCAATTTTAATCCTGTGATTATCTTGGGAGGTCTATAGTTTGGTGGCAGTCTCCAGTTTAAGGCATGACTCTGTTCTTGCTGGTGGACAAAGTGGGCCTAGATCCATGCTGGATAACCCTAGTAAGCCAGCAGTAAGATGAGGGTGAGGTGCAGGTTCTGGGACTTTCAAGTCCACAAAAATTCAGGTTCACTCTGGCCTCTGGTCATGGGGATGGGCCTGATCATTCAGCTTATAACACTCTGGGTGTCTCTTGCCAGCCTGACCACAGCTCCCTTACCATGGACATCCATGGCCGTCCCTCACGCAGTCACTGCAGTAGTTTAACGCTGGGAGCCCTGAGGTGAAGCCTCCTCATGGCTGCTCTGAGTCCCAGGTTATTGGCCCCTCCCTAAAATAGCATTTGAGCAGGCACTCTCTTCAGGGGACATGGCAGTCACTTGGACTGGAGTCACTCATCAGCTGCTGCAGTGCACACCATCCACTGCCCTCGTGCATTTCTCTCTGGAGGCCTCCAGAGTCACTTGCTTTCCCTGTGTCTCTATAGATTCCATCTCCCTTTCTTACCCAAGGAACCAGGGAGGAAGTACAGATTGTTCCTTTCTTTTTCTGCATTGAGGTCTGTTTCTTCATTTTCTCTGTTGCCTCCAATTTTCTCTTCAGATCCTTTCTGGGTCCCAAGGACCCACCTCCATTTTTGGGGGGGAGGGCACCCCAAATCAAACTCAGGACTTGTGTTTACCAGGTAGGTGCTGTGCCACTGAGCTATCTCCCCAGCCCCACCTCCCTTCTTTTTTTCTCTAAGTTGCTATATTCCAGTGTCTGGATTCCAAATTATGAACAGGCTGATTTGTCATCTTCTCAGAAGTCCAAGAAATTTTTAAATGTCTTTCCTGATTTCCTCTTTGACCCATTGGTTATTTTTTGTTTTTAAAGTCAAGGTAGCATATTCTGCCTTAAGTTAGCATGACAGAGAAGGAGTTGTGGCAGAAAAAGAGACCAAGGATTTTTTTGGAGAGGGCAATCTTAGGACAGAGGGTTGTGGTGCACTGACAAATGGCGGTCAACTTGTAACACCCAGCTGAACTCAGTCAGCATGGCGCCGGGGGTGGGAGGCCCACCTGAGAACTGCTGCCAGCAGCATCAGAGGCAGAACAGGAGAGGAAGAAGTTTAAAGGCTGTTGGGAGCTGGTAGGGAGCTGCTGGTTTCTTGGGCTATTCTGCTGGAAGACCTTGTCATGCTGCCTTTCCTGATGAACTTGGCTGTTCTTGTCAGAGGAGCTTGGAACCTCATTGTCACTGAGAATAGCTATAGTTCCCTTTGGAGGAGCTCTGGTCTTTACTTTGAGCATGGCATCCTGGCACCAGAGGGGAAGATGGTGCACTACTCAGTCTCCCGGAGAAGCTTGTCGCTTTGGGCTTTCCTGATGGGAACTTGGCTTTCCTCATTGTTGGAGGAGCTTGGGACCTCACTGGAAGCTAGAAAGTCTGTGCCAGGGGGACGAAGGACCTGTGTTAGCAGGCTGAGGGATCTGCACTGGAGCCAGGTAGCGACACTCAAAGTAAGGACCAGAGCTCCTCCAAAAAGTACCACAACCATCCTGAGCCTTCACAGGTTTTAGCCCATTGTCATTCGGCCTCACTGTTTTTCACCTGTGACAAGGCAGAATGTCACGGAAGAGAGGCAGAGCACAACTGCCCACTCCACGGCAGCAAGGAGGCAGACAGAACATGAGCATCCACAAAGAAGGGGCCAAGACAAAACATCCCATTCGGAGCCATGCTGTCAGTGACCTGCTTCATCCAGTTAGGCTCCAGCTGCTAATAAGCGCTGACTTTTGGGCCTTCCAGTGCAGATCCGTGAAACAGGCCTCCCGCTGGATGCATGCAGGACATTACTGTGGGATCAGGCCCTCAGCTGGATTCTTTTGGTCTTTAGTGTGTGGACAGACTTCCTGCACTCTTTTTGTACGATTCTTTGGGTGACTATTATAAATAACCTTATAAAATATGTGCCCTGTATTGCATTGTGCCCCTTGCAAACCCCAAACTACAACAAGTGGTGTGCGGTTTGGACGGGGTGCTCCCAATGCTCATGTGTTTGGTGGCTCAGTCCTCAATGCAGCAGTGTTCAGAAGTGGGGCTCTGAGAAAGCGATTCAGTCATGTGGGCCTGAACTTCATCAGCGGATTAAACTTCTGATGAGTTTGTAGCTCAGGGCGCTTATTATGAGTTTGTCCGCTCAGGTTGGAGACAGACTGTCAGGACCTTCTGATGGGGGAAGGGGTAGAAGAGTGAAGAGAGGGGCTCAGAATAGAAATGAGAAATTATTTTTGCCCCATTTCAGAGTGTCTTGGGGAGATCAATTTGACAGCAGTGTTTGTTTTGTAAAGGGTGTTAGAGAAGACAGGTTAGTGTCCAGGACACCAGTTAGGGAACTATTGAACTTGTATAGGCAGCAAATGTTGCAAACCAGGAAGGCTAGGAAAACTCAGGATGATTAAAGATGCTAGTCTGAGTGACAGGGAGTCTTCACTATTTACTGCATCAACAAATGGCTGAATGAATGAACAGAAGAATAAATAAGGGCAAAAATTCACAGTGAGGATTGGGTTAAAAGAGAACTATGTTAAACTTGGGCTTAGACGAGGTAGGTTTGTAGTGATGGCAAACACAGAAGTAGAGATCCTTAGGAAGCAGTAGACATGACACTAAAATCTGTGATCAATATGGGTTTGAGATTCATCTTCAGGAAGGTCAACATTTAAGTCAGGGTTTAGTGAAAGGTCTCTCAGATGGAATCTCGTGTATCGAATGAGAACAAAAGAAAGGGTTGAAGAGTGATGAAAAAGGAATTAGAACAAAAACACGCAGAGAAGGCATACTCTGGAAACTAAGTGGGGAAAAGGTTATGTCATACATGTTGACTGACTCAAGAGATTAAAGAGAATGACAGCAGAGGTCATGCATGGCCTTAGAAAGAATAGTTTCGGGATAACAACAAGGGGGAGACTACACTGTGGTGGGTTTAGGAGTGGAAAGAGCAAGTATAATGTTTAGCAGAAAAAGAGGGGCTGGGGACTTGGCTCAGAGGCACAGTGCCTGCCTGGCAAATGCAAGGTCATGAGTTCAATTCCCAGTACTGGGGAAAAAAAACTAACTAAATAAATAAATAAAAAAACAGAAAAAGAATGGATAGCAATTAAAGGGAAAGAGAGGAGGAGGAAGGTTTTAGTCTTAATATGTATGCTGTTGCTTTTCTCATTGCTGAGACAAAATACCCAACACCACAACTTAAAGGAGCAGGATACTTACCTGGCAGGGGAGATACCATGATCACAAAGGTGGTTTTCCCAGGGCAAAGCTTATCCGTTGCACTCCAGATGTGCTGACCCCTGTGATTTCCCCCAATGTGGGAAACTTGACTGCATAATTTGTGGTTGTGGGGGACTGTGTTCACACTTTCCTCTGGCAAAGAAAAAAAAGTTGAAGGTGGAGAGTTTATTTCAGCTCACAGTTTGTAGAGGTTTCAGTGCACAGTTACCATAGTAAAGTGTTCCCAAGGCAGGGTTGCATGGCAGAGGAAAAACAGTCCATAGCACGGCAGGCAGGAGGCAGTAGCTGTGAAGCAAACCTCCCTTTTTCCCTTTTATCCCATCCAGGATGGAAACATTTCGGCTGGTGTCATCCACACCCAGGTGGGCCTGCCCATTGTCCAGTCCCAGAACTATGCTAGTGAGTAGACTGATTTAGTACCACACATTTAATCCCAGCATCACACACTCTAGATCCAACCAGCTGAAAAGGCCCACCTATGAGAGCATGAGGTTTTGGGGGAACATCTACGTACAAGCCATAATCCATGGTACAGAGCCAGGCATGGTAGTCCATGCTTATAATCCAAGCACTTCGGAAGCTGAGTCAGGGGTTTAAGGCCAGCCTGACCTACATAGTGAGACCCCGTCTCAAACATAAAATGAAAACATGGTACAGAGACTAAGTGTCATGAAGCACCATATTTGGCCTATATGTATTGTGGAAGAGATCCATGGTCTGGCTCCTTGGACTTCTGCTTTTCAGTTCAACAGGTGACGTGTGTTTTTTGATAAGGGATCACCTACTAATTCTTTGTACTTACAGTCACATTTTATTTTCTTAAGTAGTTCTTAATCCAAAGTATATTCTATACATCAGATACAATGGTACTTTTTATTCAGTAAATGGTGCTTCAGGCTGGGGATGTAGTTCAGTGGTAGAGCACTTGCCTAGCACATATGAGGCCGTAGGTTCAACTCCCAGCACTGAAAAAAAGTCCCATGTATTATGTAAGATAAAATGAGAGCTTTAAGGAAAATTATAAAGCAAAGGGAAATAGGGAAACTTGTATTTCAGTTAACATGATTTCAAAAACTGAACATATCCTTGAATATTTTGGAACTTGATTGGGTAAAAGTAACTCCTCATGTTGGTTACTTTTGTCCTCTTCTATTTCAAAAATATGACTCCCTTTATTATCAACACTTACTGCTCATGTTCCCTGCCTATTTCCTTCCTCCTCCTCCACAGCTAATCTCTGTCCCTTAATTCCTTTCCTCTATTTACTTTAGAAACTAGCTTATGTTGTTTATCTTTCTTGGTATACAATGAACAAAATGAAAATCTATGAACTGCTTTACACAGGTTCTGTCACCTATGGCTCCCAGTGCATTTTGCAGATGAAAACAAAAAAGTAGAGAAAAAGGAAATGAATTCCAGGAGATCACACAGCTTGTAGCCAATGGAGTCAAGATCAGAGCCAATGAAGACTTGGCTCCAAAGTCCCGATTACCCCTGTACTACCTCTCACCAGATGCCCATCTCTTCAAATCTACCCCCCGCCCCCACCTTTTTTCAGGTACGAGCTTTATTTCCTGTTTATTGTTCACTGCTGGGCAAGCACAGTGTGCTGGGGACTGAGGTTTCAAGAGTTTTGGTGTTGGGGCTGGGGATTTAGCTCAGCGGCAAAGCGCCTGCCTGGCAAGCGCAAGGTTGTGAGTTCGGTTCCCGGTACCAGAGAAAAACCAAAAAA